GATGAAAGGAGATGAGAAGAAACGAGATGGGATGTGAGGAGATGAGTTGAGATGAGTTGAGATGAGATGACATGAGCTGAGATGAGATCAGATGAGATGAGTTATGTTGAAATAAGATGAGATGACATGAGATGGATTGAGAGCTTCAATTAGTTCACATCTTTTCATACTATTTCATACTAGATTATATACATATAAACTATTTATTTGTGTTGATTTTAATCTATAGGTTTTGAGCTTGTTATATATATGATTTAATTCCATAATATATTATATGATATTCTGACACTATTATTTGTTTTTACTTACTTATTTATTATTTTGCTTGCTCTTTCAGATTTTATTATTTTTTTACTTTATTCGAACTTATTTAAATAAATTGTTTTTCTATTACATATACTCTTCTGCTTTCTTATTTAATTTTTATTGTTTTTCCTTTCCTTATATTATTTTATTAAAGTTATACCTATTAAGAATTTTCTGCTTAAAAGGATAGTTTTTATTTTTTCGCTTGATCGTAATTTTTAAATTGGCCCTACCTAATGCTGATAGCGTATTGGCCAGAGATAAATAGTGTAGATTCATGCGAATAATTCTTCTCTACTTTATTCATACACAAATGAATCTGTGCTCAGCCTTCGTTTCGCATGTAATATACATTGTCAAAACAGAAAACATGCTTTACAAATATTCCCCATTATCTAGAGCTCGCTTTTCTTGAATTTATAAATCCTTTTTTATCAAATCAGATGCCTTTATTCTCATTCCGCCCCATCCCTACCTTTGCTTACAGATACCCGATACTCTTAACTTATCGCTGTTATTTTCTTGCCCTTCCTTATCCAGTTCCTTCTCTAGTTTCTAGAAAACTATGGTTACTATCCTCATTTTTAGAGCTGATTAGTTGCATCGATGTCATCTATTTCTTCTTGAAATTCTATATTGTCATTATATATTTTATTACTCTCTGAAGCTAATTTACATTATCAATTTCATCACATTTTCACTTCCTTTAGCCCTACGCGACATTGACGATTTGCTCAGCCTAATCTCCTTAGCCAACCTGACCTCAGATGATACCATCAATGCGAGCCCCCAAATGTATCAGTCCAGACTTAATTTCAAGCATACCACCTCATCAGAACACAATCACCTTCTGGATGAATCAGTTGTCGAAAATGTGCTTCTTGTTTCTGCAACTCGTGGCGCATTTAAAGGCGAATCGAGCATTTATTCGCCTCATGAACCGGCAACTGAGGCTACTCTAGCCCGAGGATGGCGTTCAGCTGTGAACACACCAAACGGTATTCCATCTCGGCTGGACCCAATGGCATCACATGAGCAAGCTCATCATCATTCGCCCTTAAGATTGGCCAGTATGATGCATCGCCGACGCGGGTCTGCCATCCTGATGGAGCATTACATGTACACACATTTGAGGATTGCTCATTCAGCCGAGATGGAGGCACTTACGCAGGAGCCCGTGATCGTCTTATCCAGGCCGCATGTTCGAGGCATAATGGTGACTGACTTTACAATGGTGGGCCTGGCGTGTTTACGCGCTTATGTCGCCAGGAATCAGATCCGCATCTACAAGGATATAGTTATGATGAACCATGGACAAGGAAATGTGCGTTGGTAAAGCCTTACACATGTTAGGTTTGCTATGAAGAGGGTATGGACTAATAAACATTTTAGACAACAAAGGGAAGGCACTATCGACCGAGTTGAGTTCGAAGCTGATGTTTAGCTTTTGGATTGCATCATAATCCTTCAAGAAACCGATTCCAATTGAGATTTTTTGAAGGCCTATCAACCGGTAATGCCTATATCCTTAACTATGAATGACATATAAGATCGAATTAATTTCGTCATGTCTCTAAGCCGACGCTTGACAAAGACCCGATGCAAATGGCTCCTTAGCGTAGTTTTAAAAGCCACAAAGTAGGAAAAGTGGCGGATTAGGCCATTTTGCAAGATCTATTTTTTCTGTCAAATCCAGAAGATAGCACCTTGAGGTCTTCTACCTTCCCAGTAAGAGAAACTATACTATCAATTCCTTAATTTTAATAAACGACTTCGGTTGACAAGGCTATTATTGTAAAGTAAATGGTAATTTAGAAACATACTTCGAGTGTAACTATTAGGAGTTGTCATTGGTGATTTCCTATCCTCACATACGTACTTAAAGACGCAAACACACAAATACATACGTTCTTAAATCCTAAAGGGACTACCAAATTCATTATAAATATATTTATTTCGGGTATTTTCTAATTGTAAGTGTGTATATATATAAAATATATAGCTGAGCCAACAAGCCTATTTGAGTTGATGCTAATTGAGGATTTTTGCTAGTTTTAACTCTCTTCGAAAGTGGATGTATTGTGGACTGCGGAAATTTGAACTTCATATAAAAGGCAAATCATTAGAGCTACGGAAATCAACCATCCTCTTTTGACTAGAAAGACCTACGAGTCCCGTACTCAGGCTTTTTCATGCGGAATGAAAGTCATCAGAAAAAGGGTTTTGCATAAGCTTTATGAAAATCCATTTACCATTCGTTGTATAAATAGGTACCAGGTTCTTCGAACAACTAGGGTTAGACTTCTACATGAATATCTGATAAAAGCCTGATAATCTCAGCGAGAATAAATGCTTTGGAGCATTAAACATTTTTATTTCACTTAAGTATACAATTTTAATACCTTCTCTCTAAATTGACTTTAATAAATACCCAAAACTCTTGAAAATGCAATGCAAACCATACTATTTTAATTCAATAAAGATCACAGCAGGTAATGCTAACTGCTAAATTGTGATTTTGGAAAGATAATTGGTTAGAAAGCCAGGTTTTAGTGATAAAATAAAATAAGTTGGATCCCCCCACTTGAGAAAAGGTATAGATTGAACTCTCTTCACTCTATGCTAAGTCTCAGACAGCTTTCCATAAAAAAATTACCTTCCTGTAAAGCCACTCCAATTTAAACCGAATCTTCAAATGAGTATCAAAATTGTATCGCCATCCTATCTTGTACATTCAGGTCCTCCTCAAGTTTAACTTGGATGTCACACATTTTTTGGATGCATAGATTAGCGAATTTACCCGCAAAGTAGCATACCATTTTATATTAATCATGGAAAGTTTGATTGCGAGATAATCTTATTCCACAAGAAATTATATATACCTCAGAAACCCTCTAATTTTTTATGTACTGTTTATTTAGCTTACCGTGATGCCCAAGATTAATAGATTAAGTCACTTGAAAATCTTAGCTTCAGAATCACAGAATAAAGTAATTATTGACAAGCATCTTAAAAAGAAATGAACTCTCTAATCTCCACCCATTACTATTGTCATAATGTAGAAATCCATAATTAATCCAATATTAACCAAAGAAAGTGATAACATTGGATGTCTATTAGTCAGCAAGTCAGCAATATAATTATATCTCTATTCTGCTGGATTCCAAACGATACCAAATAGTAAAAATACACTCATAACTTTTACGATTTTCTTTTTGGCTTCTGGGAAATTATTTGAATAAACTTAGTTTTTTTCAATCGAAGATATAAAGAATACAATAGTGAGGCATTTAGTATAGTCGCTGTGTGCTTGCGGTGTATATAAATTGTTTGATCTTGTTTCCGCTACTTTGTCATATTGTCAGGAAGACACAGAGTCACACACATTTTCCGGGATCCATAGAATGCATGATAATTTGAAGATTCGGATCGTGAACTTGGTACATTCCCAGACATTTTGTTAGAATTGTACTCGGCATCGTCAGTGAATCTTAGCACCGCGCTATCACTCGCCAAATGCACAAGTAAGGTCGATACTTTGACCGTTCAGCAGACTTCACTTGTCTCTTTGACGAATTATAGTGTAATATTAAGGTTGGCTTTGCTCACTGATGATGCCGAAGAAACTTTTAATAATGCGCCAAGTCCACGGTCCAAATCTGTAAATGATCTTGGTTACTATGGTCTCTGGACTAGGCAAGTTGCTCTAGATCTCCCTGACCGCATGATAAAGTTGTGGAAACAGAGTAAAATAACTTATAATTACTTTTTAATTGTCAGGGTAGGTATGCATAGTGTATTCCAAAAGGAGATTTAAGATATTCCCAATACAGATCAAAAATCGGAATGCAGAAATGCGAATTTCATTGCTTCAGCTAGCTCTCAGGATTTCATTAAGTAGTTATACGAGTAATAATATATGCTCCTTTCAATATGTTGTCTATTTCTGGAAGGCCGTCCTATCATGTTTTGACCAGTGTAACAAATCTTGAAAAAACAATCAGACAATCTAGACTACTTTGAATGAGGCAATTCCGGAAACAAAATTAAATAATAACCAGTCTTTTCTCAATTTGTTAGCGAATTAAATCCGTTTTTTAACGCCAAGCCAACCGTGCTTATAAAAACGTCGACGGATACAATGGCTTTACAAGATTAATCATCTGTTAAGTCGCAAAATCTCAAGACTACAAAATACGTTATTAAGACTTCTCAAATAGGGCAAAGAAAACCGAAACGAAAAATAAATAGAAAATAAATAAAAGATTTGCGGCTTGATATAGAAAATAAACATGTAAATTAGCACTAATTAATTTAAGAAATTCGTTTTTTTGCTTTAAAACATTATATAAAAATTACAATTGTAAAATAAAATGAGATTTCATAATTAAATTTCAACTAAAATACAGTTTTTTTCCCAATATGTGATATTTATTTAATATAGTTGACCAAAATTGAGTTCCAAAATCTGCTGGCCAGTGAACTATTCAGTCTTGGAGATAACACAAAGCTTGGCCTCTGCGGGGCCATTTTGGTCGCTCTCCTGGTATTGCTCAGCCTTTGGGAATTTTGTTGGTGGAGGCCTCATCATGAAAGTAGGTTGATCAATTTTTCGCGAAATTCTTGGATTTCATTGCTAAATGATTTTTTTACTTACATATAATTGCTTCATAATGCACGGATCAGAATGCCACAATAAACGGTAGCAAATTTTCCCTTTCCATCTGCCGAAGGTAGACCTAGACAATCCTTGAGTAGTACAACACGAGTAACTAGGCCCCTTATTTTAAGCAGTTTTTACAGAATTAAGAGAATAGAAAGAATATGGAAGTTTAAAGAAATATTACTAGTATCGTATTATTATGAAAAGCATTAGTAATTTGATTATACGGAAAATCACGCTTTCAATAAATCCTCATTGCTGTTGGAAGTCTAGACTCACAAGTGTACCAAGCAAACTAATGGTACTAAAGCCATCTAGTTCAGTAATGAAAGTCTAATTCTCTGTACGAGCAGATCCGGGTAAAGCTGCTTGGATAAATAATAGATCTTTTGGGATCTGGAGTTAGTCTGTGATAGTAAAATAACCCAGGATGAGAATAACTTTTGTGAAACCAGGCTATTTGAAATTCAGTGGTTTTTTAATTTTTGGATTAAGGAAAAAATGGTTAAATTAATTCTACTTACTATTAGCGAGCTTTGCAACTATCATTAGAGCTCTAATTCAAGAGCTATTGATATTTTATAAGCTTATTGTAACAAAATAAGTAACGTAGTCAATTTTAATGGCAAATACAATTCGGCCTCATCGACATTCCAACTATAAATAGGAGATGGGAGAGGCATGACTTGTATTCAAAGTCATATCTTCCCTGTATATCACTGAAACTAGTGGCCATAAGGCATCACGTCAATGTGTTGCCATCTTACGCACCCAACCACGATTTGATTCCCGATGGACTCGATGGTGAGACCTAGTCATGGTCAAAAAGGAGGCTCATCTTAGAGAAACTAGCTTTTGGGATGCAAAGCATTATGAGGTCGGCTCATATCATTAGGGTTAAATTAAACTACCATTCCTTCATCAGCTTATAAAACTTAGGGTGGATACAGTTCCAATTATAACATTTGATTGATTGATAAGTAGAAAATAGATTAAGTGAAACATTAAAGAATACTAGTTGTTTGACCATGTTTTCGCAACTTAGTCATATTAGTAGGAAGACTTATAGGAACGCACCTTGTCCTGAGTCCATTGTATGCATTGTATGTATTGTATGCGACAACAAAAAAGGCCACACCATCTTGGTCTTCATACTTTTGATTATAGAATACTCTCTGCCTGGAAAACTTTTTAAATTTTTACAATGGCAGATACGTTTAATGATATACATTTTTAACAGGTGAGGATTAAATATGATACAAATGCTAAAATAAATTTGATTAAGTGCCAATAAGAGTGGACGTCAAGATACATTAAATGCAGAGGTTAAAGATCGACGTTAATTAGGCGAGACTATGGTATACCTTGCTAAAACACAATTTGACATTGAATAGAGGCTGTAGTCACCCTGAGTGGCATGAGGTGAATAAGGACTGATAGTTGAATTTTCCCACACTGATATGAGTGGATCTCACAATGTCATCGAATCTCACATTATCTAGGCAGAGGGGAAAATCCAACCATCATCCCCTCATTTACTTATAGGATAATACAACTAGTATTCAAGATCTACTGAAACTTTCGAAACCTATTAATTATCAATAAAGCAATGGATGTTACCAACGAGTAGGTTATTTTAAATACTTTGAGGTTTGTGCTGCCAAGTATTGAGG